GTAATTAATTAAACATTGTTTGGATAAATAAAACTGTCTTTTCGAATTATTTCGCGTTCCTATTTATTTTTATTGTTGGTTCTCGACGTTTCGAAGGTTTTACAGCAATCATGGTCACGGAGACTCCGACATATTTGACATTTTAAATAAAACTATCCGAAAATAGTTTTATTTAAAACTAGCATTGCCCGCGGCTCCGCCGATGTTCAGATGACCAAAAACCAAATTCTTAGGTTTTACATATTAGTATACTCTTACATTACAGTTTTTGTATTTTTTCTCAGAAATGAGATATTTTTCAGCGGTAAAAACTAAAAAGTATCCTATATGTTGACCCGGATAATCAGCTATGACCATACCAAATTTCATCAAAATCCGTCCAGTAGTTTTTCTGTGATGCGGTAACAGACAGACAGACAGACAAAAATTCTAAAATCTATAGATTCGGCCTTTGTATCGATAATAATGTCTATTTCAATAAGATTTTCCAAAAAATATTTAATGTACAGATTTGACTCAGAATTTTATTATATGTATAGATTTCAAATATTCGCGTAAATCTAATAAGAAAGTATAATTTGAATACTTAATAAGGATTTATCCTTATGAAGTAAATAATATAATAGTGCCTAATAATGTCTATAATATATATATATATATATATATATATAATTACAAGTTTTTCCCCCAACCCTCAAAGTAAAATGCAAACGTTCTCGAGCGCTTATTCAGCCACCATTAGCATCGGTTGGCTAGGAGCTGACAAGTCAATAAATCATTTCACAGCGTAGGCATCTCTTGTCGATTTCATTGAATAGCGATTTATTCGCAGCTCTTACTTGCTGCTTTTCAACAACATAATGCGCCTGTGGGAAATAAAACTTGCTTGTAATCTTGACATGTTTTTACTATGTCGTTTATGGCTTAAACATTATTATTGTGAAAAAAAATGGTGTGTATGTATGTATGTTTGTTACTCCTTCAGGCTAAAATTTAGATTTTTAGTACACAAATATACTATTACGTGGAGTAACAAATGTTAGTAATAAAAATTGCGAAAAAGAAGTGTTGTCTATATAATAGCCGAAATAAGATTTTGTTTCTAACTTAATGATTAAAATATAATCATTATAATATTTTAATTATATTAAATACATAATATACGGCGAACTTTAAAGATTGTTCGAACGCAACACCAAAGGTTTAATTTTAATTTAGGTATGAAACTTCAGTCGGAAAACGTATTAGATTAAGTTAGAATGTTTGGCAAGGTCCTCGTATTTGCAAGGCAATCTAGTGCGCATTTGAACTATGTTGCGACGGACGTAACTGCCCGAGGAGTCTCAACAATGCTATTGCATATATTGCTCCTATTGCGCAACATGTAACTTGTGAAGACCAGAATGTTAGGGAAACTTCAAATTATTTGTATTTTACTTCCACTTTGTACATAAATTACACTGATTAATATAAAATATTATATAAAATTACTTAAAATATCACCCTTAATTCGATAAGTTATAAATATTTAGCTATAATTTAAAGAGTTTATCGCTAAACATGGAACTGGCTTGCTTTATATAAAATGTGCAACAAATGACCGATAAAATTAGGTACATATATGTAATCAAAAGATAAAGCGCCTCATCCAATAACCATCGAGGTGGAACCGCCAAGATTGCATAAGGAAATAGGGGATTGTATTGGATATGCATAGTTTGCGCTCGAATGCCACTCAGGTACGCCCCAGGGATACGAGGCAGCGAGGCGAGCCGCATCCATTTTGATATTTTACTACTCCACGATTTTGATGCAATGCACATGCCTGTATAGTGTGTACTCTTGAAATAAGAAAATACCAATTAAAGTTTCTGACCAAACAAAATTTTATTAGCACTTTTAAACTTTAGTCATTTTCGTTTAGTATTGACGAGTACCGTATTTCGCAAATTCCGACAGAATTGGAGTTGAGATGTGGTGTTTCTTAGAGTTCTACGTAACGTACATATATGGTTTAAAACTTGGTATCTCTTAAGCTTTTAAAACCATTGGTTCCCTCTAAGCAGGTTTCACTAGATATAAAATATAGAGATTATTTTTAGCAAAAAAAGGGTTCAACCGAATTTATTGTTTGCGAACGGTTTAAAATAGTTAATTACTACTTACGAAACCTAATATTATTAGACGAAAAAATAATTGCACTATACGAATGTACCTATCTATACATTAACCTATTTTATTCACCTAACCTATAATAATAATCTTATAATGATTACAATAGGAATATTTTCAACAATATAAATATTTTAAATTTTATACCATAATTAAAATTGTCTCCAGATTGAATAATATTTATTTTAAAAGCGATATATTATTGAAATTATATATTTTTAAAATTAATCGACTGAAAAGTAAGTATTAATCACTTTTTTGTACTTCTATCCATATTATTATATTCTTAATTCTTCCATTGTAAATTTGTATCAGCAACAAATCTACCCGAATAGTAATATTTTATATACGATAGCTCGATTCCATTTCGCTACCTTACTTCACTGTAATTATGAGAATAAATTCGTTCATTAATTTGGCTTACTTCATCCGCGTCGATCATTATACCGGGGATTTTATTAAGCCGGCCTGATTTTCATTTGCACGCAGATCACTGTTGGCGAAATTGTTTTACAATATAATTATAGAGAGCCATTGTTCTGAACTCGACGCACTTCGATTTACATTTAGAATGTCCCAATTTGCACGGTCTACGGCTGCTGATGTCTACCAACTTTATTTGTTTTAATTTCATTGTATTTTTCAAAAATACATTTCATATATAAAATATTATCGTAATACTCGTACATTTATTGGTTTGATGGCTTCTACATATTTAAATTGTTATGTCGTTTGTTTATATTCGATGTATTGATGAAATAATTAAGCTTTATTTTCAATGGTAATGGATATATTACATATACATATATAAATTGTTATACAAACGTTTGCCCGCGGCTTCATCTGCGTAGTTTATTTATAACTGTAGGTACTGCATCTACGAGTCGTAGCATATTAGATACTTTCCTAAATAGATAACTTATAAATACCTAATACAAAGTGAATAAGACAATAATTTACGTTCAAAACAAAAAATATAATAATTTTGATAACTTTAGATTATGACTATTTCTAATAGTTTTTAAAACAAAAAGCCCCTAGAATTTTAATTAAACATTGTTTAAACAATGCCAGTTAAAACCAGTGAAAAATAGATCTTAGTTATTACTATACTCTCTGGATTTTCTACATCACAAAATAAAATAGCGTGATGTCAGTCTATATTTTATTATTTACTATATTTTACTTGCAGCCTCGCATGACTGTAGTTCAGTAGATATCGTGTTACGTGATTCAAAATTAAAGCTTTCGCTGTGTATCCAGTCATCTGATCAAAACGAACTGAAGCAAGGTTTCTGCGTCAGACATTTTACAATAAAAGATGCACGAGAAGTGCGCGTGAATAGCATAATTAAAGTGTTTTCGTCTTTTACGACCCAACCATCACTGTTTAATTAATCATTTTAATCCCTCCACGAGCGCGGACACGCCGGCGTGTCAGTTAACAATAGATTTCTTAGAACTTAATTAATTTCTCAGAAATTTACCTGGAGGTGTTATAAAATAATTTATATGCAATCCCATGTAACTCAGAAGGATTGTGATTTTATTAAATTTATATATACTAATTCATAAATAGAAAATTATGATGATAAATAAAAAAATGTATTAATTTTTGACTAAAGATCTTTACTTATTCTTATATTACAAATAATATTATGTACATCATATATTGTTACAATCATTAATATTAGCCGTGGGTATAATACATGAATCTTACTCTACACTAGCTTTAATACTTCTGTAATGATATTTTTATTGGTGCTCTAATCAATCACTTAACATAACGGTCGCTGTCACGTATCCATATTGATGAACTCGTTATAATTTATAATAATATGTAAAATATAGTTAAGTTTATTTATTTACTTTCATTTCCGATTAAAAATATTACATGATATACGTTTAAAACGTTAGAATATTCTAGTATTTTATTTCCTTTTGAATAATTCTATACATCTAATAATACTACACGTGACAACCGTTGGCAAGTAATTGATGTGATTGGTAAGTATCGAGTATCGCTGAAATATTTACATTAAGAAAAATCTATCTCTTACGCACTATTTAAATATTGATAACGTTTCATATTAAAAACATAAATACAGGCGATAAAAGGCTACTGAAGTAAATGCGAAATTCATAAAATAATCATTAAACCAGTTAAAAATCGATTTATATTAGTGTAATTATACAATAGTTAAAATCTGATTTAGCGAGGTTTATGTGCAAATGAAAAGAAAAGTAGCGGTGGATGTTAAAAAAATAACAAGTTATACGTAAAATAAACAACCATTGGCACTAAATATTTAACATTTTTATACGTTGTACATTATGGTGATGGTTTTGGTTTAACTCTTCATTCGTATATACACGGCACGCTTCCTTAATCTAATATCAAGCAAATCAAATCTTTTTTTCAGTGCATTTTATTTACATAATAAAACTTATCTACATCATAATAAGGTACTTAATCCTCTCAATTTTCAAACCAATGGCAGAGAGACGAATGTAACATATAAATAAACTCGATATGATTTCGAATTATCATTGAAATCCTTTGGATTTTCATCAATATTCAATTCCAATGATACCCAGTTGATTTATTTACTATTCCCTTAGGTATTGGAAATCTCGTATATGTAAAATACATATATATCGCTTTATAATATCGCTGTAATAATAACACATACATAGTGTATCCATAACGTTTAACATTAAAAAAAATATTTTGTCACATATGGGCACCACAAAATCACATAGCACTTGAAGTATCAACTATCACTGTATAGACCACAGTCCAATTATATAAGTCCACTGGTCTGTTATAAATGTGCCAGAATGTCAATTTCGGAAGGTGGTTGCGTGTGCGTGTCGTTGAGAGCTGGGGAGCCGGAGACGGTCACAATGACCGGCTGTGCTTCAGTATGAACGATGGTCACCAGATGTTCGTTTGGGTCTTTTTCTTGTTCTGTGGGCTTAGGTAGGGATTCTATTGTGTCATCTGCGTATTTAAGGTCTATAGGTGTGAGGGAAGGGAGTGCGTCTGTGACGGTTACAGGAGGGTCCGCCCGCGGCGCGCGATATGACGGGGGTCCACTGTACTCGGATCCACACCATGCGGCTCCCGTTGATCCTCTGTAAAAACAATAATATACTTCTTAACCTCACAACACATGACATACTCTCTTAGATTTACGCGAATATTTGACATTTTAAATAAAACTACCTTTTCGTATTTTTTCGCGGATTTATATTGATTTTAGGATTTCCGATGGTCACGTGACTATGATCGATGAAAAGTAGGTATTCGAAACGTCAGAAATCCAAATATCAAAATAAATGCACGAAAAAATCCTAAAAGATAGTTTTATTTAAAGTCTCACAACATATTACAAGTGTGGTCATAATATTAATTTAGGAAAAATCCACTTCTAAAATCGAAATAATTACTTTAATGTGATTTTGAAGTGTAATATTTTAGCTCATTTTAATTATTCAATGTCCTGCAATAAAATTGTGGACCCAATAATGCTCATTAAAACGATGAAATTTTGCTATTATGTCACATAAATTAAGATCTGATATTAATATTTCATGTATACTTGTTTCGTAACTATACGAAAATATTACATTTTAATTCGGCAACCTAATATTATGTCATCAAGCCCTCTGCGAAACGAGAGTATGAGTAGTATAATATTTATTTAACACTGGTGAATCCCTAACTGGCGCAAGCCTAAACAGAAAATAGTCTAAATGTTATTCCGAATCATAGTATAAATAAAATAAATATGTTGGGACATTAACACACAGCACCATCTAGTTCCATGGTAAGCTACGAGGCTTGTGTTATGGATACCAGATAATTGATACACTACACATATATAACTTTAAATATATACGTATTACAAATAAAAACACCCATGACTGGAGTACAAACATTCGTGCTCATCACATAAATGAATGCCCCCAGCGGGACTCGAACCCGCAACCGCTGGCACAGCAAGTAGGGTCACTACAAACTGAGCCAAACGTGTCGTCGAGAGGTGTGTATATCTATGTACAAAATACTATCCAAATCCGTAAAGCTATTTCAACGTGAATGAGTAACAAATATATACACACACAAAAACAAAATTCAAAAACATACCAAATAATAATAGTAGATAATCCATATTTTTGATTTTGTATTTTATCTCTAATAATAATAATATGGTTATTGAAAATAATAATTTAATATAATTGGACCCAGTTATGCAAAAAACAGCCATGTGCGTAAAAGTACCAACAGAATTGTAAGCGCTTTTCTGTCGATTGTTGCACTTGGGTTATGTTTTGTTTATCTGGTTATTTTAAAATTGAACAATATTTATTTTTTATAATTATACTTTTTACGCACTTGGCTGTTTTTTGCATAACTGGGTCCAATTACAATTCATTTCTATTCAAGAAACATTAGTATACCTGACTAGACTAGCTGAGTTGGATCTGTATGTGGGAGGCGGCGACACCGCGGGCGCACTTCTGTCTAAGAGAAGCAACCTGAAACAAGCGGTTAAGTTAAATACTTCGGTACTAGAAGTTTCAGTATTCCAGTTAAGGAGTCTATCGTTTGAAGGAACCATTATTAGGCGAGTTGGTGGATTAAGCGCAAGTTTATCTGTTCAACTGCACAATTAAAATGGAGCTTTATTTATTGTTTATATGTAATGATCATTATTTAATGTTATTTATTCGTTAGGTACTAGATATAGAGATTTGTGTATTATATTTCAAGTGAATTTTTACATTTCACTTCTATCTATACATATATATAATAAAATTGTAACTAAGCCGAATCTGTACATTAAATATTTTTTGGAAAATCTTATTGAAATAAACATTATTATCGATACAGAGGCCGAATATATAGTTTTTAGAATTTTTGTCTGTCTGTCTGTCTGTTTGTTTGTCACCGCATTACAAAAAAACCACTGGAGGGATTTTGATGAAATTTAGTATGTTGATAGCTGGTTATCCGGGTCAACATATAGAATACTTTTTACCGCGGGAAAATGACTCATTTCTGAGAAAAAATACAAAAACTGCAATGTAAGAATATACTAAATTGTAAACCCTAAGAATTTTGTTTTTGGTTATCTGAACGCGGGTGAAGCCGCGGGTACTGATAGTTATAAATAAAAGTTTCGTTAACTTGTGTCTGCAGCAACTGTTTATATGCATGTATTGCAAGCAAATAATTGAATTATATATTTAAAATATGCCCAACGAGTAACGACTTTTAATTACATAAAGCATATCAAGATAAAGTTAAATTGGTTAAGTGCGAGTCAAACTTGAGACGGAGATCCCGTATAACGTTACAATTTAATACGGTATGTTGTGTTAAAACCACTAGCGCGGGTCCCACTCACGCTTGGAGGAGTTTTAATATTTGTTGTTTTACTTAGGATTGCGCTAAATCATACCAAATATCACACTTGTATGTGTACACGTTTTGTACGTTGTGCTTGTATAGTTAGCGAATCTGTCATAATAGCTAATAGGTATTCTGTAAAACTTTCAGCATTTTAAAGATAAGGCAGACAGGCGAAAGCCTGCTATTGTAGGCCTAATAATAAGGTTCAAACTGGAGATTAAGCACCCTAAACAACTTATATGAATCGTACAAACCTGAGTCTGTACTCTTGCATAGAAGCTTGATATGTCGGTGGTGGCGGCCTATAATGAAACTCTGGGTATAGCATGGCCGCATAAGGGTGGTGCGGGCGTGCGTAGCTCGGCGGTAGACGAGGCACGAGCCGTCGACATGACGCTCGCCTTAAACCTAACAATGCACAAGGCGCATCTCGTGCACCCAAACGCCACGCTAGACCAGCAGCTGTCACTAACACCACACCTATGCCTGTAAAATACAAAATTACAGCTTATTACTTAATCATTTTGGGTTTATTAATAAAAAAAATATTTTTCTAATGTAATAGTTCTCGCATCCTTTTTTAACACCTTAGAAATTGAATTAAATAAAAATTTTGTTGTATGTATACAAAAGGCTAACCTAACATAACCTATTACCTTGTGATAACTTAGATTTTTGTCTATAGTTTTCATAAATTATTCATTAAATTTTTTATTTTTCCAGCCATATTCCTGGTGCTATTTAAATCCAGCGATATTTTTCCGCTACTCAACTAATATTCTAAATTGTAATTTCCCTTTTATTCAACAATATTTAACATAAACAAAGAAAAAACATGTATTTATTTGAAATCGTTTAATTTATGAAAAAATAAGCTTTATATTTGTATATCAACAGACCGTCTATGCGCGTACGCAGCCACTATTTAGATAATTATTTTCGAGCTCGTGACCACGAACAATACATCCCGCTTTGATATCTAGCGCTAATGGCTTGCACCTGTGTTATTAAAGACTATATCGGAGAGCAGAATTTCTTTACAAAGAGCTCTTATATAGAAACCGTTGCGACAACGCCTTTAATGGAAATATTGCGTTGAACGATATTTAGAAGATTTTATTTTCGAACCACGTAGATACTAAATGTTATGGTTGATTGCATCAAGTAATTTTGTAGCGGCGCGGCGCTTCTGAATAAAACAAACAAACGACGTTTATAAATTCCATGTTAGCGAATATTTGGTTAGTATGTCTATCCATGTTGATGTGTGAACTTCCCAGCTGAGTGACGCGTACAAATTGCTTTGGCGACACAACAATAGATTGCTTGCCTGTAACAACATCATTTGTCCCTAACGCTAATGAAAATCCAATTAATTCTGCTTCAAAACTCATTCGAAGTTTAATTGAAAACTTCACTCGATGAAGGGCGGAGGTGACTCTGTGAATGATGTAATGAAATTTCGACCAGAGTTGTTATTGTCATATGCAGGACGCATATCCAATGAGTCTCCTCCAAATGTTTTAGCCTTAATGACAGCAATTTGTTCACGACAACGGTTTCAGCCAAAATTAATATTAAAGCGCGAGAAGTTACGAACAACTGTCAACTGTAGTTTGCACTCGGTTTATTATTTTTTTTGCCTTTATACGAGGCGGCACAAGGCGATTTTTATAGATTGTAAAAAATAAAAAATGCCGCACGGAACGTGAAGCGAACTGTTAAGCGATCAAAGACTTTATCATTGAAAAAATTCTCTCGATCCAGAAGTTTTACCTCAGCCGTTAAAAAAATTCATATGATTTTTTTATTTATTAGTTAATAATCGTCTGGTGGAGAACGCGATTAAGGTTAGTGGTCCCTGTGTATTGAAACAGAGATAGCGGATTCGACGTGTACATATACGAATTTTTATGTTAAAAAAATTTACCAACAGATAGCAGAAGATTATTGTTAACTATTTTCATAATAGTTATGAATATTATTAATTTTGTTTTCCTAATAAAAATAAAATTATAATACTTTGCATACAGTACATAGGCTGTAACTATCTCCATGCCGAATTCTCTTCAAATAAATTAAATAAATTAAAAGCGTGAAGAAGAAACAGTACACGATCGCAATTAACACATAACTACATTATATTATAAAGTCCCCAGACGCGCTGAGTTTGTGTTTGTTCGAGATAATCTCATAAAGTATCTCTATGGATTTCCATACCGATTTCTCCGATAAAAAAAGCTATTATCTATGAAGGTTATGGACTATAATTTATGGACATTTTGCGAAAATAAGCTACTTTATAACGATATTTGTGATTCAAGACAGATAAAATCGATTCGTCTAAGAGTTTTGGTAATATTTTAATGAGATAAGAATCTATTTTGCTGGCTTAATGTAGTGTGAATAATACGATAATTTAAATACCTATCATCAGTAATAATAATGTGAGTGGTGCACGTGGGTGGGGCCTCAGGGCCCCGAGCACGGCGCCCGCACCCACAAGACACGCACCAACTACGCCCAGGAACAAGACACACAGTCGAAGCGGAGGTCGACCGCAACAGGATTTAGGAGCGTTGCCCTCTCCTTCCGAACATGCATACGCAGCACCTCTTCCTGATCTGAAAACAAATAATTTTGTAAATGTTAAGATTTCTTTGCAAATATCATAGTGAGTAAATACATAAATTAATTCATTTATTTATTTATTATACACTTCAATGTACACCACAGTAATGTCATAAATACAGGAAAACAAAGTATCTAAAACACAGTTAAAAGTGTTCACATAAGGCGCTTTAAAGTCTAAGTAGGTAAAAATTATATGATAATATTAATTTTTTTTTTATATTTATCATAAAATTTTTGGAAGCATAAAAACAGTGAACATATTTTGTGACGGCATTAATAATATTATTTTTAGCCCTTTGTACTTTGTACTGTTATAAACAGTATTTACAGAAATAAATACTGTTTAATTAAATTAATTGTATACCGGTTTTCAGTTTTGGTGGTACATACTTGTATACCGGTACCGTACCGTACCGTGTACCGTAGTGCCGTACCGTAATTGTATACCGGTTTATTCTGTGAAGTTCCCAGGAAACTTCTGCGCTTCTGGGCGGAGCTCGGCTGGCTAATATAGCCAGGATTAGCACGCACAACGGACCAGAAGGGAGTTCAAGTGCGGAAAACGAGTCCACTTTACATTACATTACCGGTTTATTCAATTTCAGTTTTGGTGGTACTGTGGCAATACCACGGAAACTAATTACCATAAGACTTTCTTATAATTACAGTAATTGTACTGTAGAATTACAGAACCACCGTAGAAAGAAACAACAATACGCAACAATAAAAATGGACAACTAAAGAAGTACAACGTTTGAAGTAAATAATTTTGAAAAAAAGAGGTAAATAAAAATGTGTATGAATAAATTTCTATTAAAGTCCACCACATTACATGCTCTAGATATTTTACGATATGCTTTTATTGAAAAAAACTGTACTGAATTCATCTCTATTATAAAAATTGGCAGATGGCAAAAAATAGTGCTTTTATTGGGTGCGAATCTATTAATATGTTTTTAATTTCGTGTATATAAGATAAGTAAATAAAAAGTCCAATATATTTATTGTTAATGCATGACGCTTCCTTCCAATATGTCTAAAAATTATATGCAACATAAATCCGTCTCTCAGAACCCATTAAACTGGCACATCGCACTGAAAATCGATTCAGATTTGAAGCATTTGGATTATGATCAATATAAATTGAAATTACATGCATATTAAGTATATATAACCTTAATATAATAGATGTCAATAAATATTATAATAACAAGTTATAGACACTGAACAAGTAAATAATTATGAAGCAAGAACAAGTTATTAAGAATTATTAAATAAAGTCTACAAACTTCATAATATCTTTGTTCAGCAAAAGGAATTTGCAAGAAAAAATATAGTACAAAAAACATATTTAGCAAACACCGGGGACATTCAATATTTATACTTATTGCTGTAAATTAATTAAAGCAAAATTGTTTGCCCTTAGAAAAGTTTTCAGCCAATTAAGTGAGTACCTACTTAGTCTTTCAAAGCGTATAGCTTTAAAGCTTTCTTTGTACATGTTTATATTTTTTCTTTTTATTTCATCTATTCATGACTGTGCCTTTATAATAAAATATTATGCAAGATGTAAAACTCTGGGATAGAATAAAGAGTTCGTTCGTTTCATTTTAGTTGCATAATTGAATTATCTTACTTTAAATTCATAAATGTTAAAGGCTAAAGCAACAGAGTGAGTACAATAGTGACGACTAGAAAAGATTTATAAAGTTTGGAGTGATTGGCCAGAGTCATGGCTGAATGCATCCGAGTTTATCGACCTATATCATCTGACCCCTTTAGGAAGAGACCCTTATGATGTTAATTGGTTTGGAAATTATAATACATACAACTTTTGTCTAAGTCACGTACCAGACCTATTATTTTTATAGTGGATATCTATTTCGAATATTTATATACGTATGTTGCATCAAATCAACCTCTATATCCATAATAAATGTAAGGAAGAAGGACGCTTTCATTACTATTTCTCTCTTCAGAAGGTTTTATATGTCAAAAACAAATATTTCTTTTATGGTATCAAATGTATCGAGCGGCTTAAGTATAAAAAGTGAAAACCATTTCATTGGATAAGTTCGGTATGAAGCGACTGCGATGCTGTAGTTGTTCGTCGTCGGACATTTTGATAAATGAGACTTCGAACAATAACATTCGTTTGCCGGCATTTCTTCTATGCTTTTTCGATGTTTCTTTGAGCCATGCCTCAAATTCATTGGTTTCGTATATATTTTTTATCTTTACACTTTTTTTAAAGGAATACAAATAGTAACTGATTATTTATCTTTTCAGTTAGTACAAAATCTTGGTATTATTTGGAATAGAACGCGCGCTTTACGACATTGTTAGCAGTGTCAGTCAGACGTACATCCTTTATTAGAACAGTCTGTGAGTGTTTAGTGTAATATCATTCATTTTCAAGAACATATTTGTGAAATTGAAAAAATAAGAAATTACATTTTACTACAGTTCTTACAAAACAGTTCTATTACGTAACTTTAGTTATACGTCCAAAAAGCATTCATAAAATTGCTTTACATTGTTAAACATCGAATGACACCATCTGTTGCAGAGATCGAATTGGATAGTGAAAATGGGATGAGTAATTTTTTACTCTCTTAATAGATTTGGCCACGCGATCCATAAACAACCCCCACTCGACTAAACACTCATGCTCTATAATTATAATATTTATCTTTATATATATAATTCTTCTGTGAGTGTGTATGTCACTAAACTTCTCTCAAACGACTGGACCGATTTTGATGAATTTTTTTGTGTGTGTTCAAGGGGATCTGGGAATGGTTTAGATTCACAATTTGAATAATAATTTTCATCAAAAAAATTATTAAAAAAAGTTTGAAATTTTCAAATTAAAGACGTGTAGACAGGACAACGTCTGTCGGGTCCGCTAGTGTTATATAAACTGAAAGGCTACAAAATAATGAAAAAAACTAGAATATTGGCCTACAGTAAAAAAATATTCATCCTCTTAAATAAATAAGCTATTTTAGCTTCCTTTCAAATAGCAATTTCTTATATGATATCGCGTTGTACGCGATTCCATTATAACCTTATCTTAACTCAATATTATTCAATTCGAGGGCACATTATGTAAATCCAGAACAGTTTAAAGCTTGGATATTGTTCTAAAGTATCTGGCTTAGACGATCCTGCCTTGCTTAAGACCGTTGGTTACGTTATGCGTCTACTAAGCCCGACCATATGTTGTGACGCGGGCCGTAAAATTTACGATGTTAATAAGGGCTCGAGGGTTAATTATCTGATTTACGTGTATATTAAAACACTCGTGCGCACGCTCCTTAATGTCCTTTACCATTAAAATTTAATAACCACTCTTCTTAATAACATTTCGTAATGGCACAAAATATTATTAAGTAATAACAAACTGAGGTTCACTCAATTTACGATTAAATAATTTTTATAGCAATTGTCCTATAATAATGGTTTTTTAATTCAAGTATTATTTTTGTGTACTTTTAATTTAAATAACTGTTAGGTGAGAAAGTTAGGAGAAACGTAAGTTTCTACTTTTCGAAGGTCAGAGTAGATATTGTTTCTGCAGCAAAGGTCGCGGGTTCGAATCACTCGTATATTGCGCATAAATTATTTGTCAGTCCAATAAGTCAGTCTGTTACGTAGTTTTATTTGAAATTTTTAATTAAAGAAAGACGATAGTATATTCTTAATTGCACTAAAAACGATAAAAACAGATATTTCGTTAACAAGAAGTAGAGAACATGGGTGGACATATCTCAAACGAGATCTATATGAGACAACTGATGTTCCATATGAGGATGAGAGTCATCTACCGGGCACAATAGTGCAAGAAAATATCAAATAAAGTATTAAATAACATAATTAAAATATATAAATGGAATCAGATACACAACAAACGGAAATGTTAAATAAGAGCCGTGTAGTGTGTAAGTTTTATGTTTATTATTATTTATTTTCCTTTTATACCTAAAGATATACCCATAATACAATTTTATGTGCTAATATTAAATAAAAAGAACAGTTCTTTAGCAAAAAAGGGCAATTTCTCAACGAAATCCTCGTTTGTGTTCATTCAGACAGGCTACGCTCCATCAAGCACGGAACCAATAAAATCCATAATCATTGATATACTGCTTGTCGATCGGTCTATATTTATGAGTCTTATTGTCCTGTAACGTTTATATATTCGATAAATTCTCAGAGAATTGTAGGTCCATATTATTCTATCAATCTTTACATTATACATTGTTTTATATGTGGTTTATAGAAGTTTTAATATTATCATTGACACCATATTAGCCTCTTAAATCTTAATATATTATAATATATTGCCACAATCTATCACACAATCTATTTGCATGGTAAGCTACGAGGCTTGTGTTATGGATTCCAGATAGTTGATATACTACATATATATATATATATATATATATATATATATATATATATATATATATATATATATATATATATATATATATAACTTCAAACACATACATATTATAAATATAAACACCCACGACTAGAGTACAAACATTCGTGCTCATCACACAAATGAATGCCCCCAGCGGGATTCGACCCCGCGACCGCTGAAACAACAAGTAGTGTCACTACAAACTGAGCCAAACGTATTGTCAAATATAAATTATGAAAAATCTATTTTTGTCCACAGTTAAAAAATCTAAGTAATAATCCTTATTTTAAAACTCCTTGATCCAACATTTTTGATTATAATTTGATATGTTTTGAAGTAACCTCAAAGCTGAATATAATTTCCTCATTAGAATCAGTGCTATTTCAAGATCATCAAGAGTTGTTTACTATAAAGTGAAAACTGCTATTGGTTCAGGGTTTTAAATCTCAAGAGAGCATGGCATTTCATACAAGCAAGGGCGCAGCAAGTTTTCACTACTCGCTAATTATACCCTCGAGGACTTAGAGAGTGCCTCCAGTTAACTTCATGTTATTAAAC